AGCTGGTGTTTGGTTTGTTCAGTGAAGTTTCTAGCTGAGCACCAGCGAGGCATCTGTTTCTCAAACTAGACACTCTGATGTACTTGTCCTCATGTTGTGGTGCATCTGGGCCGTCCATGTCTCTTTCTGTCCTGGTTAGATCCAGTTTGCTTTCTTTCTTTCTTTTTAGACAGTAGTGTGCATGCCCTACATCTCTCAGAAAAAACCAACAACGACAGGGGGATGCGTTTCTGGATAAATGTGTTTGTGTTTAGCCAGGATTTTACTTGAAAGTATAAAGGTACTTGCAAGTGTATTCAAAGCTTTAGCAACTGAAGGCTTCACACTTGAAGTACCACAACTGTGCAACTGAGCACCAAATCAGCACATTCAAATGATTTCTTAAAGATCATGTAACGGGTGTTGGCTGAAAATTGTATTGAGCCAATGAACAACTAGAAAAAAACCCAGACCTGTGGTTTGCGAGGCACTCTCAATTAATGTAATCTACAACTTTTGCTTTGCATGTAACACCCCCCCCCCCCCACACACACACACACACACACATTTCTATAATGCATGAGGCGGATCTCATGACCACCAAGATATTAGTATTCACATAAGAGCAATATTTTAGGAAAAAAAAGAGAAGATAATTAGAAAATACATCATTCATCATCTGTTTGGCATATTTTTTTCATATAGCTTTTGTTGTCTTGTGTTTTTCAGAAAGCACAGGCTGAAACGTGAACAAACCGTTCATTGAACTGTTGTGCAGAATCTGCATCGTGTTAACATATCATTACTGCTGATAACACCCAGACTGATTTTCACTGAACAGCATAATCAGATGATGGATATAAACTTTCAAAGCCATGAGAATTACATATTACATATTGAGAATTACATATTTTCTCTTTAATATTTCCTCATATTCCTAATTTATACTAATGCCTTGCTTACTGTAGCAGAACAATCATAATTATGTTGGCATTACTGAACTACTTCAGTTATAATTGATATTTTACAGAAATATTTGCAGTGGATGAGTAGGGAGGAGTGGATTTTGATCTTATTATCTCCGTGATGTATTCTATAGTATAAATCTTGCTCATTTTTAAAGGTTTTTTTTTTTCAGTTAATGCTATCTGAATGATACATTCAAATTGTTTGTTGAATCAAAGGCTTGTTGATAAGAGGATCATGCGTGTGGATTGAAGATTGGATGGAAAATCCAGTTTAACAGAGTGTCGTAACCAGACACGCGATAAAAGGTATCTTTTCCTTGTTAGTTTTTGTCCTAACCAGCCATGAGGGCAACATGCGACAAGCGAACTGGGATTTTACTTTAGAAACAGTTTCTGTTTCTGACAACGTCACAGCTGGAACAACAACATACAAAGTATAACAATGAGGTACTGGTTATGTGCTTTATTTATTGTGTAAAGAATTTAACGCGATCATTTTGCGTGACCTTTTATAGCCATTCTGAAAGCTACAACCTCATATCGTAAAAACAAATGAAAGAAAACAAAAAAACGTTCAAACTGGGAACTCAATGTGGACAAACAAGTGTATTCTATGACAAAGATTGTTTCGTTTACTCACTATGTATTTTTAATATAGGGATGTCCCGAGTCGGTCGATGTGATCGATGCCCCCTTTTTTACATTTGAGCTGCCCCAGAGAAACTCTCTGCACGGCCTTGCATTGGATTGATTTGAATAACTTTAATGTACTTGAAGTGTGCACCAATCACTAGGAAAATGTACATATTGGACAGACTCTGTATTGGCAGATACTCAATATTTAATGACTGATTGAATCGGGGGCACAGAAAACTTGATCGAGACATCCCCAAAGGCCCAGATATACTCACGGCGAAGTTCTTTTTCATTCTTCGTTTAGGGGTAAAACGAAGTTCGAAATACGTGAGCAGCGATATACTGTTAGCGAACATCCGACGTCGCCCACACAGCTCAAAGCGGCGTTTAGATGGATATGTAAATATGTGCTGCCTGCTTTCCTCTCAATAACAGAATAAACACAACAAAATTTTAAAAACAGCAAGAATTTTTAATAAGAATCATAAGAAAAGCATCTGAACTGATCATAGCAACATGGATGTTTGCTCGAGCTCTGCAATTCGGCACTCCAGTAAAGTCACGTCGCTTTTATATAGCACTTTATACAATAGATTGCTTAAAATTAAAGGGATACTTCAGGATTTAGCATTAAGCTTTGTATTAGTAGAAAACCTGTAGTATTTTCAAATTACCATGCTTTCTACCCTCATATCCCCCTGAGACGAGAGATTTCTGTATTTTTTCTCTGGAAAAAATCCTCCGATGACGCAAAAATCGTCATTTTGCGTCATCGGAGGATTTTATGGCCAGAGGCTAAAGACTACAGTCAGTAGAAGGGGCTGTCCCGCATGTTCTCAACCCGCCCATAGAGGGTGGGATCTCACTCACAGAATGTACACATAGTGTCAGACATCTTTGTTTGGAAGCTAAGCTAGCAGGCTCTTGTTCTGTGGAGAAAGCTGAGTAGTAGGGGTTACCATTCATCCTCTTTTTTCCGGACTTGTCCGGCCGTCGAGATCGTACAAAATGTCCGGGATTCAGCTTTTGCTTTCTGCAGTCGCCATTTATTGTTTACATGCACACCTTTTGTTTCAATCTAAATGAATTCATTCCGATTGGTGAATCTGAATGTATTGTTTACATGAACGCTAAAGAAGTGATCGGTTGATGTGCGTTTTAACATTGCTAAGAAAATTCCCGCTCCTCCGTGAGAGATACGAGACCGATGCGTCTTACAGGTGTCTCTCATCAGTAATCACGCCACCGGCCTCGTCCTGCTCGCCACAGTAAACATAATGAATGGCGACTGTACGCAAAAGCCGAATCCCGGACATTTTGGGCGATCTCGAAATCCCGGGCAGACTCATCACGGAGACTCACTAGTAGCCTAGACTTGTTGTTTAACTACTGCGCTCTATTACCGGTAGGCGTGGCCTCCTAGGGCAGCAAAGCAAGTGCATTCTGGGAGTTGTTGTCTTTCATCCACATAAGCCAAAAATACATTTTCTGGCTTTTCTCAGTCTAGAAAGCTCCAAATTCAAAAATAATTTTACATTTCTTCTACATAAATGACCCATTTTAAATACACATTCATCTTTGCAGAGGTGAAGTATCCCTTTAAGGAGCGTTACCGTATTAAACATGTCAGTGTCTCGCTTCATCAGAAGTACAACTTCATTTTCTACTATAAATCAGATCTCCATTGTGTTTATGTTTTCACTCACGGATGTCTGACCTCAACGGACTGAACAGAAGAAATGAACCGGATAAGATTTCCACGTGAAAGGCGGAGCCTCCGCGCACACCTGCCTATTATGTAATCGCCACGGACCAATTGTAGTAGAAAGGTGTTTACCAGCCATGGCAAGCTGTTTTGAACTCCCAAAACGAACTCCAAACCAAGTTCGTTTTGACCTGATTTTGTACGAAATGATGTCACATAATGTTCGTTCTTCAATTTCGCTTGACATATATCGGGGCCTTAATTTGTAAAAGGGTGTAATATTTATGAATTTGATTATGTACTTATCCATTTTATTGCGAGTGCAGTGGCCTGGAAAGAGACTCCGCCCACGCGCTCTTCTGATTGGCTGTTACTTTTTGTAGTCGTGTATCATCTGGTGTGGACAGAAAAAAATCTTGTCGCTGGAATCACATTGCATTATGTCTGGTTAGGGCATGGTTTAACTGTTTATGGACAGTTTTTTAGCTGGTCCAAGCTAAATATTAGCTGATCATTGGTTGGTCACCCGCCATCTTCTAAAAACCAACATAAAGCAACATGTTTGAGAACCATGAAAGAGGCACTATATCTTGACCATATCAAGTTACCTGCCTATCCTGTCAGTAAGCAACCAGTTAGAAACACCCAAGCAACCATCCACAACAACCTAGAATTAGGCCATAGTTACACACCAGGACATCAAGAAGAGAAACATCTGAGCAGGGAATTTCAGACAATGTCTGATACAAGTATCTGCTGAGATTCTTTCTGGTTGTTTTGTCATTAAGGTTAATTTTCCCTTATTGCTCTAAAATTACCAGCACACGTGCATTCATACAAGGCCTGATGATGAAAGTGGTTCAGTTTTTGGGAGTTCTTTATGTTGCAGGTAATGAAAATGACACACAGGCAAACTCAACATCGTCGAATCAAAGAATATGTAAATGAACAGTTCTGGGGATACAGACAAGCCACTGCCTTTTGTGTGCAATGTTCCACTTCCTCTTTCATCCAACCATGACCAGCGATCTCACAAACACTCCCCACACACACAAAAAAAGACAAAAAACAGTCTGGTCCTCCTCCGCCGCCTGCTGAATTCGTAATAAAGCTGTACATAGTGCTGAAATTGCACCGTGTGCATGTATATAAAACGTCTCCATAAAATTAATTTAGCAAAGACGTCCTGCTCATTCTTCGAGCGACAATGTGGAAACTAATTTCCTCGAGGTTGTCTTTATGTCAGTTTTTTCGATACGCTCATGTCATCGTGCCGCTTCGAAAAATTAAACCGGTGACTGGCAGTTTTGACGGCTTTCATTGTGCCCACCTCATGCACTTTGCCGTTTTGTGTGTTTCGAGCACATGAATTGAAGGGGGTTATTATATTTGTGAATAGTCCATTATGTCCAGGCGAGCATTCGGGTCCGTGCACAGGGGCCCGTTCTGTTCGTCACAGAGGGCCTGCTTTGATTGATGTGGCCGGGGTTTGTCACAGCTGGGAGGGAGGTGATAGACTTGGGTGGTATTGAGAAAGCGATGCACCACACAGAGCTATGCAATTAAGCTGTTTTCTTTCGGTTAATTAAAAGCAAATTAGTCACTGCTACAAGAGGAGCTGTCGTCTTCTAATTGCCACCCAGCATTGCCAAGCATAAACCTGTTGTTGAAACGGTCTGTCTTTACTTATTCTCTCATGTTCTGTGTCGCAGGGCCGGCGGGGAAAATCAGGAGAACCGGGCACTCCAGGACCACCGGTAAGACTTAGTTTATAGTTTGTGAAAAAAGAGTGTGGACAAGAAAGTGGCCAAATATTTAATAATGAGGGAGACCGACAACTGTACTGTTACAGTTCAGGAACTGAATTGTACGGTGGCCGAGAGAGCTCAACGTGCTGCAACTGAAGAAAACACATGCAAATAGAAAAAAACACATCCAGATAGAAAAAAAACACCCGCAAATTAAGAAAACATCTTCATCAGTTTCACAACACATGTGTGCTCCAAATACTCACAACACAACCAAATACAGAAACGCGCTGCAAATAACACAGACCACAACGGGAATGTTTCCATGGCAGTGCGTTTCTGTATTTGGTTGTGTTGTGAGTATTTGGAGCACATGTGTGTTGTGAAACTGATGAAGATGTTTTCTTAATTTGCGGGTGTTTTTTTTCTCTTTGCATGTGTTTTTTTCTATTTGCATGCATTTTTGTTTCTATTTGCATGTGTTTTCTTCAGTTACAGCACGTTGAGCTCTCTCGGCCACCGTAGATTTGATTATTTTTAATTATTTAGTGAGGAAGCACGTTGTAAAAAATGTCTGGTATTACCTGTTGATGCAGTGGATGACATATTTGGTATATATCAGCATTAACATTATGAGCCACTCTCAGGCCCACACAGAATCTGTTCCTGCAAAACTCTGCAGAAATCTCCACAAATTTCTAGGCCTGTCATTCACAAAGTTTTAAACCCTGCGTGTTTGTCTCATATATTTTGGTGAGACATTTCTGTAATGTTCTAAATTCTCCAACATTTCTCCTAAAATTGAAAGCGCAAAGTCCAGATGTTGCATGGTCCAAAAGTAAAGTTTAGATAGGTATCATTCATTCCTAATAACCATGAAAACCAGTTCATTTTAAGGTGATAAAGTTGTATCAATACTTTTTAGTCTTAAATGATTGAATATACAGGGGTTTTTAGACCACAATAATTTATTAGTATGGTGTAGGGCCTCCTTTATGGTCAATATAGCATCAATTTGTGTTGGGAATGACAAGTACAGGTCCTGCACAGTGGCCAGGGTGATTTTGAGCCAGAACAGTGGCCAGGTCACTGCTGGTGGAGGAAACGTTTTCTGTCTTGCGTCCCCAAAATACCCCAAAGTGCCTCAAAAATATTTAGATCTGGTGACTGGGCAGGCCATGGGAGATGTTCAACTACACTTTCATGTTTGTCAAACCAATACTGTCAAAAGTCTTGCTGTGTATATTGGTGCATTATCATGCTGGTACACAGCACCCCCTTCGTGGTACAATGTTTGAACCATTAGGAGCACATGGTCCTCCAGAATGGTTCTGTTGTTCTTTGCAGTGACACGTCCACAGTAGGGAATGCCATGATATTGCAGCCAAAACCATCGCTGATCAACCCCAGTGCTTCACTCTAGGCACGCAACAATCCGGGTGTTAAGCCTCTTTGGGGCTTTACCACACTGTAACTCACACGAATGTGGTAAAGACAGTGAAGGTGGACTCAACAGAGACCAATTCATGTTTCGCATTGTCAACAGCCCAAGATTTGCACTGTTGGCACCATCGAAACCTACATTTGGCATTGGCACGAGTGACCAAAGGTTTGGCTATAGCAGCCCGACCATAAATATGACTCTGTGGAGCTCCCGACGAACAGTTTTGGTGGAAACAGGAGAGTCGAGGTGCACATTTAATTCTTGTAGTGAGTTGGACAGCTGTGGTTTTATGTTTTTTGGATACAATCCTGGTTAGCACCTGGACATCCCTTTTAGATAGCTTCCTCTTGTATCAACAGTTACTTCTGTTGATGTGGTTCGTCCTTCTTTGAGGTATGCTGACATTACCCTGGATACCACAGCTCTCGATACACCAGAAAGACTTGCTGTCCTGGTCACAGATGTGTTACAGTTTCGTTGTCCAACCCGTGTGTGTGTGTGTGTGTGTGTGTGTGTGTGTGTGTGTGTGTGTGTGTAGGTGCGTTCACACCATGTTGAAATTACCTACGTAATTACAATATTTCAACTTGTAAAAAGCATTACATGGTAGAGCTCGTTATTACAGCCTGTAAGATTGTACCACCATGGCCACTGCAGATTAATTTAGGCTTTGACAGTGTTGCCATAGAAACGCTTAATCCCCTGTCTTAGAACTTAAACAGCTCCGTATAGAAAGTCACGTGTTGTCATTACGAGACTACGGTAATTATGTCATAGTGTAAACACAGCTTTTGTATATAATGTGTATATATATATATATATATATATATATATATATATATATATATATATATATATATATATATATGTGTGTGTGTGTGTGTGTGTGTGTGTGTGTGTGTGACCCGTACTGGCAAAATGAGTCGGAATGCGCAAGGGCTAATTACGAGCTACAGGCAAAACAAGTGAAAAATGTAAATTGTGGTCGAATTTCAGGTATTTGCGAAAATTTGTTAATTAAGCCGTCATCTAGCGATATCAATGCTCCAAATAACAATCTAAAAGTTTCTTTATTTGTACGTTTTCTGAGAGGAGTACCTTTCCTTTGTCCATGAAAAATGCAGTTCCCTTTCGAGGCGGTAACTTAAACATTACGTCAGCGTGACGTATATGGGAACTGTATTAAATCCCGCCGTGAGAGCAGTGAAGATAAGCCCTGAACGGGGTCAAACCACACCCAACGTAAGCAAGACAGTTCTAGCCAATAGCTGCGTCACTAAGAGCGCTCTCATCTGATAGGAGGAACTAGACCAAAGAGAGGCCTGCTCCGACCTTATCAAAATCTACATATCTCAAAGCAATGGAATTGAATGCTGCACTGAATAGGGCAGACACAACACAATAAGCACTCAAGCTTGAGAGTTCAACGCAGTGCCGACGGCGATTGCGGTGACAGCTGCATCAACTTTATTAACCATAACACAGAGTTAGCAGCTATGGTAACTACTGCATAGCTGGTTAACAGATAACAAAACATTTTCAGTAAAACTCAACTCACCGAAAGTACATGTGACGCTACAGAGGATACATCCAGCTTGTAAAACCTGGCGAATGTGAATAAATCCTGGATAGACATACCTTTAGCCCAGGCCCATGAGGAAGCAATTGCCCTCGTAGAATGAGCTCTGATGTTAAGGGGACAATCTTTCCCCTGGCATTCGTAAGCCAATGCAATAGCATTCACAATCTAGTGAGAGTCTCTGTTTTGAAACGGCACGTCCCTTATTACATCGACCAATGCACACAAACAGCTGGTCTGACTGACGAAAGGCGGCCGAGCCATCCACTGTCCGCAAAGCCCTGACCGGGCAAACAGAGCTCTGAGCGTCGGCGTCACGCGAGGCTGATGGCTCAGCAGAAAAGGCGGGCAGTGAAACAACCTGTGCTCTAAACGGTGTATTGAGTGACTTCGGAACGTAGCCTGGTCTCGGCCGGAGAGTGACGCTGCAGTCGCCAGGTCCGAAACAAATGCAATCGTCGTTCACCGAGAACGCGTGTAAGTCTCCAATGCGCTTCGCTGAGGCGAGAGCAAGTAAGGCCGTCTTCAGGGAAAGCTCCTCAACCGCAATCGAAGCTAGGGGCTCGAACGGTGGTAGAGATGGAGCTCTCAAAAACAGAACTAGATCCCACGGCGGCTCGGAGGGCGGCCGTGAAGGACACAATCTCCTCGCTCCACTGAGGAATTTGATCACCAGAGCGTGCTTACCGATCGATTGCCCGTAACCCGGGGAACGAACAGCAGCAATAGCGGCCACCTACACCTTAGCGTGAATGGCAAAGTCCCGCTCTCCATTCCGAGCTGTAGAAAGCGCAAAACATCCGACACGGAACGATCCCCGGGTCAAATCGATGTCCTGGCACCCATCTCAGAGCGCAGAGGCGATCTGGTAATAGGCGCGCACCTTGACTCTGCTCAGCACTCGTGAATGCAGAGTGTCCCGCTCATTCAAGGTCCCCGTAGCGGCCACAAATGAAGGTTCCACAGCTCGGGGCTGGGGTGCTATATCGTGCCGTCCGCCTGAGACAGCATGGTCCTTCCTGAGGGGGATTTTCCATGGGGGAGCCACCATTAACTCTCTCAGGTCCGCGAACCAGGACTGATTCGGCCAGTTCGGGTCCACGAGGATACTGACACTCTCTTGTAGAACAACAGCCAATAGCATTGCTCCTCTAGGAGTGCTCACAGCTGATAGACAGCTCAGCTCAAGTACACCGGAATTGCATATCATAATCACATATCAGTATACATAAACAAAGCGTCAGTGGCCATAGCGACAACAACTGTGAATATACGCAGTTAGATTAGAATAGCCAGTTGCACTGGAGGATACCGGGCAACATAACAGCATAAACACATCAGTATGTACATAAACACAGCGGCAGTTGCCATAGCGACAACAACTGTGAATATACGCAGTTAGATCAGAATAGCCAATTGCACTGAGCAATACAGAGCAACATAACCGTATAGACTCATATCAGTATGAACATAAACAAAGCGTCAGTGGCCTTAGTGACAACAACTGTGAATATACTCAGTTAGATCAGAATAGCCAGTTGCACTGAACAATACAGGGCAACATAACAGCATAATGCATCAGTACATAAACACAGCGCCAGTCGCTGTTGCGACAACAACTGTGAATACGCAGTTAGATCAGAATAGCCAGTTGCACTGAAGGATACAGGGCAACATAACAGCATAAACACATATCAGACGGAGACGGAGTCTTCCATCCCTCTTGAGCACCATGAAATAGCGACTGTGCACTTCCATTCTCAGAACAGGACGTTTTTAAGGCAAAGTCAGTGACGGACTCAAGCCTGAGCGGCGGCCCTTCCCGTGGTCCATGTCGCTACATTCCTGGTCCTGCCCACTGCCTACTGCCTAGCAGTTTTTGGCGGGCTGCTCAGCCAAACTTAGGCGGGACGACGAAGAGAGAGAGCTCGACGAGTTCTGGAACGAGCAGCAATATTCGCTCCTCATAGCCTTTGTGCTTCTGCGCCTCAGAAAAAATGCTCAGTAACTGACTCCACGGCGTCACCAAAGAGGCCGGAGGGAGTGATTGGAGCCTTTCTTTTCCAGACAGATAAGCCGTGAACTTGCACGGCTTAGACTGCAAGCTGAGATCCGCGCCCAGAGGCGAACGGACGGGCACAGATCTCCTCGTCGGGGGCGAGCGCACAGAGCCCTGGGCTTCCGCCTCGTCCCTTTAGAATGCCTGCGCGATTTTACCATGTGCTCGTGGAAGAACAGAGTCCTCTTCCTTGAAGCAGCCTGGTTGATATACCAGACCTAGTTACTTTTTAACGGAGCCTTCTGCGTCGAGTCCAGCGCGTCCGCGAAAATGACCAGTGCGTGGCGACAGCAGAGGAACATGAACTGCGTGGCGGAGTGGGTGCGCGCCAATTTGGGATGCTCGTGTCCGCAAAGCTGACAGCGTCGAACTCGTCTCTGGGCGAGGGAGGGCCCACTAGCGGCTCGCTGGCGGCAGTAGGCCCCATCCCCGCTGTTGCCTGCTTTTCTGGCTCTGAGGGCACGCACTGGCAGCTCGGCACAGTGAGTGCACGTGCCGTCCGTGAGTGGCGCCTCGGCGTGGGCGATGCCCAGGCAGGTGACACAGTACTGGTGAAGGTCGGGCGGGTCAATGGGACCCGCACATATCTGGCATGTAGCAGCCATGAGTAGTCCTCTATTGCAACTTCCACAATGACTTAAGACTTAAATGACTTCTAGCGTGAAGATAAAACTTCTAGCGTGACATACAGAATGTTCTGACGTAATTGTCACGCCCATGCATTTTATACTGCCCGAGAACCTGTCAGTATTTGCATGCTTCGCGTCAATTGGCCAGCTGTACCCAGCTGGCATTAGCTCATAAGATTTCAGCGAAATTATAAAGGCCTGTCTCATATAGACGCCTGTCTCAAATACAAGAGAGTTCAAATGCAGTTCGACGATTTGGGAAAATAAAAACCCGGGCTATTATTTGAAGTTTTACGGTATACACAGAATCACAGTATTTCAAAACATTCACGCAAACATTATCTGTTATGTCTTAAGTAAACGTTTGGTTAACTGTTGGGGAAAAACATGATATTAGATTTGTGCTGTATATTAGGTCTTAATATAGGCTGTCTGTTTCATTAATGTTAATCAAACAATTGTGGTATATATATAATATTAACTAATTAATTGCGTTTTTTCCCTCTGTAATTAATCAAGATTAATCACACCTAACATTAAAGTTTTTAATATTGTAATTTTATATATAAAATTATATATAATATTGTAATTTCACAGTTAATCTCAAATTAATGTAGAATAATAATGTAAAGTTATCAAACACTTCACAGTCTTCACTGCATAAATTATTATTTAAGAGTTATTAAAGTTGCAAAAGTTATTCAGTCAAGAGCAACTAGTGATTTTTGACATGACGTTGATCTGACACACATCCCATGGCCTCACAACATTTTACGGTCATTTAAGACTTTATTTAACTCATTTAAGACTGTGCTTACGAGGATAGCGGCCATTTTGGCATACTTTTGTGTTTTTGTTCGTTCAAGCGCGAAAGAGATAACAATGCGATGCTGTGTGTACAGGAGATTCAAATACATACACACACACACATATTTATTTATTTATATATATATATATATATATACTAGGGGTGTAACGGTACATGTATTCGTATTGAACCGTTTCGGTTCGAGGCTTCCGGTTCGGTACGCATACGAACCGAACGATTCCTTGGACCATTTTTCCTGCCGACAAAATTCGCGTTGGCGCGACCACCACAACGTTGCGCAACATCAAATGGCAAGCGTAATGAAAGCGGAACGAAACTCATTATGTGCTTCACGGATCGCAGTTCGGACCAGCAACATCTGTGCAGCGCGAGGCGAGCCGATCTCGATCAAGCGACACTGTTACAACACAGCGCTAAGATCCAGTAAAGAAAACCTTTGAATTCGCCACTGAAGTAATAACATCGCTGCGAGATCTAGTGAGAAGCATTCACATTTCTCCGTTATTAACCGTAGATCTCTATTAGATCAAACAGCGCTGACGTGGACACCAGGAGAAACATTGTGCCGTGAATGAACTAGTAATACTTTACGTCCACAGACCAGCAACATTCACCATGGATTTAATATAGTAACACTAAATGTAACCAGTTTGGCTGGAATAGTGAAATGCTTTCAAGTAGCCTACTTCACACATCTTTTTCCAGCATTTAAAAACTCAAATATTGTATAAATAAATATATGAAGAGTTCAGATGCAAAAGCCTCTAAGTGCCATTTGAAATTTTTCTTCTAGAATGATCATTTTTATGAAGCTTGTATATTAAGTTCAGTAATTTCACTCAAATGACAATTAATAGGTAATCTTCATTGCCATTTAAGTGAAATTACTGAACTTAAATATACAAGCTTGATAAAAATGATCATTCTAGAAGAAAATTTCAAATGGCTTTTACATCTGAACTCTTCATATAGGCTATTTAAATGATATTTTTAATGTGATGACCAAAACATTATTTGTTCATCCTTCAAAGATGACACCCATTTATAAACCTGAAAGTTTCAAGATGTAGGAAAACTCACACTTATTTAAAAAATATTTTTTCTTTTAACAAATAGGAAATTTCTCTGGCATTTCTTACTTTTTGCTGTATCGAAAACGTACCGAACCGTGACTTTAAAACCGAGGTACGTACCGAACCGTGATTTTTGTGTACCGTTACACCCCTAATATATACATATGGCTAAAATGAGCATATATCAATCTCATTTGCACCTTTTAGTTTATATCACTTCTGTTCCTAATTTCCTTCCCCTGCAATTCAATAATTTGCAGAATCAGAAAGCATAATTGTTGTCATTAATCTGCTTCAAAATGCAAACAAAATTTGTCATTGTGCTAAATGGTCAGATACCTGCTGCTATATTTATCTCCCTCCAGATGAGCAGAGCTTTCTTGGTTTTTGCATTGGTTTGAGTGAAATCTCCATCACATATGCTGTGTGGCTCGACGTTTCAAATTACGATTTCAAGCAGCCCAGAGGGCCATATTAAGAGCAGTCCCATGCATAAGTGTTATTGAAGATCCCGAGGAGACTCTCAAAGGGGCCCTAGTTTACTGCTTGATAAATAGTCATCTCATCAAAGCCGTGGCATCAGTATGAAAATGTGTGTGAAGTTAAAATCACATGCACACACTTCAGCCTTTGAAACGTATGTTGCATCAGAAATTGCTGGCATATTTACATTGCCTTTGGCTTTGTGTTTGTACCCACATCTATGGAACTGGATAAACATTGCAGCTTTACTAAATCTCTTTTGAGTGAGAAAAGAGTGATTAATTCATTGCCATATTGAATGAATACTTAAAGGAAGAGTTTACCCCAATTTTTTTATTCTGACACTTTTTTTTACTGTCATTTTGTTCTAAACCTGTTTGTCAGACTATGCTGGTCACTCTTTTCTATGCAGTTACTATAAATGAGAACTGGATCTCAAACTAAAATTTAAATAAAAGATGCAAAAGCATCATAAAAGTGGTTCATTTTACTTGTGAACTATATTGTAAGTGTTCTGAAGTCATATGATAGCTTTGTTTGAGGAACAGACTAACATTAATTATTAATAAGTAATTATTTACTGATGAACTTATCCAAATGCTGCAACAAGTGTGAATTGGAAAACAAATCATTCAAACTGGTTTTGTGAATTGAAACATTGAAAAGATTCAGTGCCAGATGTCAGGAATTTTAGTTAATAAGGGTCTATTTCTCACGCAAAGATATAATATGGCTTCAGAAGACATGAAATAGCAGTCGTAAGGACCATTTTTTTAATAATATTTCGATGACATTTTTGCAACCTTTTGAATCTTGAATACCCCATTCATTGTAATTGCTTGTTTGATTCATTGTAAAAGTAAATGATGACTGCATTTTGGCATTTTTGGTTGAACTGTTCGGTTAAAGATTTACTAAACTGCAAAGAGAACTGCAAAAGTTGCCTGCAAACTGCAGATTTGTTCTGAATACTAACAGTGACTGACCCTTTAGTTTCACACAATACTGTAAATCTGTCACTCTTCACCACTGTAAAGTTATAAAGTGGTGGAGAGTCGGGAGGGAAGTGGTTTTATGGAGTGACATTTTTAAATGGCAGTGTCTCGATAATTTCCATGGCATGTGCCAACCTTGCTTCTGTCCCCGGGAGCTGGCATTTATGAGTGGCCTGTTGTTCGGTGGCAGAGACGAGGGCCCCGGGCGGCACAGACATCCTCCCCCAGCCTCGAGGTGTCGAGGAATGCCATGTGCGGTCCAGGAGCCCTTATCTGTCTGGATATTTAGTTGAGCTGATGTGTCTAGTGACCTTTGTCAAGGACATTTTCAGGTGTTGTTGCTGCAGTCGTGGGCGACAGAGGCTAATACGCAGTGAATGTTGTCCTGGTTGCTGTGCCAGGCAGTTAAAGCTGAATTTCCATTTTGTTTTGCATTGTACAATATCAGATTTTGGATTTTTATGAAATTATCTTTCTTGCCCAAAGCATTTACATATGAACTACCAAATGGAAGTGTAAGTTTGATTTACTAATATTGAGATTTATGTCTTCAACACAGGGTCCACCTGGTACATGTGATGCTGAAGCTGTTAAGGTAAGATTTACCTCTGTATTCTAGGTTTTAAATGTAAGGTTTTTTTTTCTTCGTTTTTTAAAGTAAGCAAGTGTTGTACTTTTTAAAACATTGCTCTGTTTGTTTAAACCACTCGACCGGCCTGACATATAGCAACATCGGCTCAACCAATGGCATGAGTCTGGGGTGGAGCTAATTGTTTGTTTGTTTTTTGTTGTTGTCTTTTTTTTTTTGACCAATGGTAGACAGGGAAAGTGTTCAGGACTGTTTGAAAATTGACATTATTTTGACTGTTATGTTTGGTGACTCTAGTGGCAGTTTTAAGCTAAAAAAATATATTTTATTTTTTTGTAAGTTGTTGAATGTTGTTTATCATCAACATCCTGGTCGTTTTATGTGGCCTTCATGTACATGTTGAAGTCTAAGGGTGCTTCTCATTTCTAAATTGTGCATCCTTGTTCCCTTTACTCGCTTCCTTTCTTCGTGTCTCAGCTCCACCCACGTAGGATGCGAGAAGCAAGGAACGAAAATTGAGTAATTGAAGGAAATCTTATTTGTATATTGGAATGTTCTTGATCACTCAAGCGTCATCATCTGCGCTCAAGGGATCTGCCCTTATGTTGTTGAACTCTGAAATCCTCCACCTCCCCCAGCTCCACCTGCCTAGATCTGCTGCTACAGAATTTATGTAAAACAAGGAAGCATCAATTTGAGTATTGATTATGATTAGGAAGGATGCTCATGGGTGTCCTCTTGTGGTGACCATGAGTCCTTGCCCTGGATGTCAGAACAGTGAAGATTGTTTGTGTATTTTTTTAGTGAAGAAGTTAGTGTATTTTTTTGTGAAATTAACTCATATTTTTGATTGTGCATTAGTGTTGTCAAAAGTAAACTTGAAAATTGAAAAAATGTGACAATATCAGCAGACGATACCATCACACAATGGCCAATCAGAGAAATATATGTTGAGCTCATGAACACAATGGCCAATCAGAGGTGTTTAATAATCTGTTCAACAGCGCTCAAAAGGAAGAGTGAAATGCTGGTATCATCACAGTTTTAAGATTTCAGTACCGACTTGGTACCGAAGTCGCTACTTTTGACAACACTATTGTGCATTGCTCTTGAACACAGTAAATTGTGGGATATTACGTGTATTAACTTAAGTTTACATGTAAAGAGTGACGGCAGCTTTGATTTTTAACATGATTGGACTGCCAAAAGTCTAGAAAATTGTAATGACACAATAACTATTTCCAAAATGATTGGAACTTTATAAGAACGTACAACAATAGCATGCTACATTTATCGTGGAATAATGTAATTGTCACAGCGTGGCTTTAAGCGCACAATGAAAGGAGTAGAGAACAAAAACAGTCTTTATTAAATACAACAAGGTAACACTCGACTCGGGAGATAACGAGATAAACGTAATCCAATCAAAATCCATAAACTAACTAGCAAACAGTACTCAGGCAAAGCAGAATGGGGAACAGAATGAAAATGAATCCAAAACAGAATGAGACTGTTACAGTAATGGTTTCATGTGTTATTTTTAAAGAGTAGTTAGTGGTAAATAGTGTATACTGCACACTAGACATCATTAGATTTGAGTTGTTTTGAGGTCAGTGGTAACACATGCGCCACTGTCAGGGACATAGAAGATGTTGAGACGCATGTGCTGTCTGTTGGTAAAGTGAGATGAAGCATTTATTCTGTGCTGTCCTCCTGAGAACAGAGAAGGAAGGACATGCTCGCATCCTACCGATTGGCTTCCCTCAGTCAAACGCTGGCTGTCTGCTCAGCATGTTAAACAGCCGCACACACACACACACACACACACATCCTGCATCACCCCTCAGACTCAAGCCTGACAGATGGTAATTATGAACAGTGCTTTTGCAAAAGGTCTGCAATAATTTCATGAAGCCCAGGGGTGTCATATCTCACCAGGGGCAATGGCAGTGTATGAATATAAATATACAGTATATACATGTATATATATATAGAGAGAGAGAGAGAGAGAGAGCAAGAGTGAGTGTTTACATGCAGCTCCTTAACTCTTCAGTTCACACCACCGCTGACACACACAGTCAGGTCTCAAGGTGGACCACATGCCTGTCTGATCTTTAACCTTCCTCTGATAATTTATCCACATAATGTAAACTGTTTGCTTTCTATTTGACTACTCGTCACCTGTTTTTTTTTATGTTATTTAATTTGTTTACCCCATTATCTATTTTATTTATTAATTTTGTTTTAATCATAAACCTCAAATTTGTGTTAGATGTTTGCATAAATTAGAAAATAAAATATTTTGGTAGTGGGATAAAAATAAAGTATATTAAAATGCTGGTCTTAATATCTTATTGGAGTCTCAAGTAAATGTATCTGTTTTTTTAAAGATTTCTTTTCTTCTTTTTTTCCCTGTTTTATTTTGATTTTTTACTATACAAGAACTAGACAACTAGTCTTTTTACTAGACAAGAACTACTGATTTTCTTTTCGCTCATGAGTTTGTCACACCAAAACAGTCCCTAAATACCTCCATTAATTAAAATATGTTTTATAGCCTATACTTTTCCAGTCAATTTGATACAACATGTTTCAAGTCCCTCGTTTGACAAGTACAGTAGCCTAATTAAAGTGAGTTAATAATTGTTTATCGTTCAGATAGTGTGATGTCTAAACACTAGATCATTTTTTTATTATTGTTCTGCTGTTAGTGGCCAGTTTAGATCAAAATAATATTTCTTAATTTCTTCTAAGTTACAGTAATTACTGTTTCAGTGTAGTTAAATGGACAAAGTAACCAGTAACCGTTGTTTACCTGATCCCACACAAACCCATCTGACATATTAACTTCCATTGTTTTTGGATGGCCAAATTATGCAGGCTTGGGTAGGGATGTCACGATACCAAAATTCCAGTAGTCGGTACCAATACCATTAAAATTTTACGGTTCTCAGTATCAATTTCGGTACCACACCTAAATCTGTTGGAACTATTTTTCTATTTTATTTAACTATTTGTACTAATATTGTGTGGTCAATACAGTACATTAATGTTTCTATACGGTAAAGCATATGATCCTGAGACACTCAGATTGAGTTTTATGTATGAATATGCACACACTCCAAACCCTTGTGTGGTGAGAAGTTTATTTTAACCTCTAGATGAGCTGAATTCAGAGATGAAATGTTCCTCATCGTCTCGGTGGGGCTTGGACCCTTTGGCTTTGCGTTTAAAGTCAGGCTGTATCATACAGGATCAGGGCCGTCTGTCAGTGTTTGACCTTCCTGCGGTCCTTTCATAGAACAAAAAATGCCTCTGGGTTTCTGGTATTTTTGCACGGGCCATTAGGAATACAAATACACAAGAAAGCCAATCAGAAAGGCTGCTGGCTTGTTTTCAGAACTATGAAACACTTGCTTATTTGTTAAACTCTTTGCTCACACACGAATCGGTCAGCACAGCGCCGCTTCAAGTCAAACACACCTTAACCCCTTATTTACACTGCACACGTCTGCGGCGCGTTACGGCTGCGACGCGGCTACCGGGGCTGATCGCGGCCTCGCTCTCCGCGACGCTTCGCTAAAGATAGGCGCCTAGTGTATTTTTTGACGGACGCCACGTCCAAGCCGCGTCCAAAGGCCAGTGTTCTCCTCATGCTCAAACCTTTTCACAATATTCTAATTTTGAATTTGGGGTTTTCATAAGCTGTAAGCCATAATCATCAAAATGATAACAAAATAAAGGCCCGAAATATCTCACTTTGCATGTAATGAGTCTATATAATATATTAGTTTCACCTTTTAAGTTGAATTACTGAAATAAATGAACTTTTGCACGATATTCTAATTTTTCGAGTTTCACCTGTAAGTATTTGTCGGGGCAAAGAAAAAAGTTGATGGTTCCAAATGAATCTCAAAAACATTATTATTACTCTGTGATGCATGTACAATGTTGGAAAGTTATTTTTTAATTTTTTTATTTTTATGTGTGAGATGAGTTTATAAGTCGACATGGTCAAATGTGCACACAGTACCTGCATGCGTTTACAAATGGAAGTGTAAATGGCCTTGCTTTTACTGATTTAAAAAGGGTTTTGTTCAGATTTGCCTGTTGATTGGTTTAGAGTGGTGAGGCAGGGAGTCTGACTGGACTATAAAACTGCTGTTTTGCCAAGCTGCAAGACCGGTGAACCATCTTGGTTCAAGTTGCTTTTCTCAGCAGGAGAGCCCAAAGTGAGAAAAGCAATTGTGTGGTCGAGCTCACAGTAGAGCTATTCAGACTCTGTCCATTCTGCGTGGCTTTTATTACTGATCACGAGTGACCGTCTATCATCAGCTGGCCGTAAAATACACTATTCCCTCAGCAGGAACATTTCCTATAAATCTTCTCACAGGGATTCAGGATTACACAGGGGTTAGGCGAGCGTGCTGGTGCTTGACAAAGAGGACCAGAGGGAGAGGCTTTTTGCTTCACTGCACCTTTGAGCTCAGACAGAAAGAGAGTGTGTATGCACTATGCAGTGCTCCAATTTGCTCTTATGAGCGGTGTGTGTGTGTCATCTCCACCCGTTCATACAGGCATTGGACTGTGACTGGACTCTGAGAACAGTGGAGCAGTCTGCATACGTTTGTCCTGACAGTGCGAAGAGAGTGCAAGAGTTCAGAGCTGAGTCATTTCTGCTCTTCATTAGGGAGTTGTTTGTGGTTAACGTACTTTCGGCCTTAGCAACCTACTAACAAAGTCCACTGAGGCAAGTTACAGTAAGAACCCATGTGTAGCTTTCTTCAAATAAACGTACTTGACTTAACGACTTCACTTAAACATGAACATAAAACATAACACTCACCAACAGTGGTTACAGGGAACAAAGCTTGGCTATATGAGGGCTATTTATATGCAGACTAATCACTTAACAAGATCACTTAACAACAATCAGGACAATTAACCAATCACAAAACAGAACAGAGAAACACATGAGCAGAACAACCAATCAAAACATGACACATGAACAGGGAAAGCACATGACAAGATCGCTAGGGGAAACACATGACATGACCGGATCTAAGACTATGAGAATTACTAAATAAAAGACAAGAAAACATGAACATGAAACCAAAACCCAAAACTAAACGTATCAAGCGGCAACCGAGGTTTATTCAACTATTTATTGAACTGCTGTCACTTTAAGACCAAATGCATGGATATAATATACTGATAAACATCATATTTTCTCTCAGCTGTTTATGTATGACATGTCACTTAAGACATAAACAACTGTTTGTTGAATATTCTTTGAATACTCCCCGAGCTGTTCATTTTTATATATTTTTGTGTTTTGTTTTTGTATATTGATCGTTTAGATCTTTTTTGTTCCATGATGTTTTTATTCCATGAAGTTTCACAACAACTCTAATACAATTTGAAAATGCATTTTCATATAGTTTAACGCGACCACAGGATCATTTAAACGAGCGGACATTTTATTGCTTTTATAGCTGATGACAATTAGCATTGTGTCCTTCAAGTCCGTTTATTTACATTTTTTTTATATGTATTTAAAATTGAATTATTTAATTGAAATATATTATTTTTAATTGATTTAAAATGTAGGCTATTTATTTAAAATGTTTTTTATGTAATTATTTATTTTGAATTTCATTACTTTATTTCATTATGTTAAATGTATTTAATTAATAACGTTTATTTTTGTTCAAGGAAACTTTTTTTTTAATAAATCCTGTTTTAAGATAATAGAATCCAATGATATGATATGATATGATATTCAATAAAGAAATTATTAATTAAATGAGGTTCTTAAATGCTATGCAACACTGGGGACATACTAGGCAAGGCTATTATTTCCATATTTCCCTCAAAATTGCATCATGAGATTGAAACATTCAGAAAGCTGATAATAATAAAAAAATAAATCATGAATTTCTAATGTATTTAAAGCGACAGTGAAAACATTTGTCAACTTTTCGAATATAACTTAAAGCTTTTGATGCTTTTTTACTGATTGGATTGCATAGTGCAGTGCAGAGCCCTCAAAGACGCAATCAAAACAGACAGCAATCTGATCACTCGGGAGGTGGCAATTACAGAGAAGAACAGAGATTGTGAGCTTTGGCATTATATCAAACACACTGGTATCTTTTGTGTCTGCTTGGTTGTTCCTGTAAGCAATTTTATTGAAAAGAAAAGCTTGTACAATTTGGGGAAAATGCCTTTTCCAGGTTGAGTAGACAAATTGTATTACCTTTCCATGGAGCTCCTCTCAGGAATTTTAATGTGTCAGACTCTACCGCATGCTGAACAGTGTACAGTATGTAGTGTGTACCAGTAAAAACCCCACATGATTGTGTTGTGATGGTCCCTTCTCTCCAACACTTACTAAAACACTCTCTCAATGCGGTTATTGGTGTTTTTATTTGAAAGAAAACACGGCATGCAATTCTAAATCCTTCATCTTAATATCATTTAACTATGAACCCTGTATAATTGTAGTATCCAACCTAAAAATGGTTTTCAGACTCCATACAGTAACTGCTGTCACGTCTGCCAGTGTAAAAGATGCTCAGTTTGCATTGTCTAGAGAGAGGACAGCATCTCAAAATGGACGCAGAATAAGACAGGAATTCATCTTCAGTGAGAAAGTGCCATCTATTGGCCGATAAATTCCCGTCCTATCTGTGTGACTTGATGTGCTGTGGTGAGTTACGGAACATTGATTTCATGTTTAGTGGCTGTAATTAAGTGGTAAACCAACATGTGTGATTTATGCACACATGAGAACATTTGTGTAATGGAAGTTAGATCAAATAAGAGTTCAGAGATCGGTTTGACTGTGCCATATAACACTGCATCAACACGACCACCGCCACCAGAAAAAAAGGAAGAAAAAAAAATTGTGATATCTGCGGTGCTGGATGCTAGACTCCCTGCATGCATCACAGCATGAATGAATCATGCATATTACAGCTTCAGATTGTTTCTGTTCTGCTTTGTTTGAAATGGTGTTGTCTTTTGTCTTTTTTCCCCCCTTTGACTTCATAACTTGATGTGTTTTTGAGTGTCAAATTCATTGCAGTTTAGTCTTTGCTACAAATTGTGATTTTTTTTTTTTACTGGCCTGAAAAAAGGTCAGGAAAATAAATAATAGTCAGTGAAGTGCTGTTGAAATTTAAATTTCAGTTTACTTATGCTCGTCTTTCAAATGTTTAGATTCTTCTTAATTTACAATATTATCTGTGTGTTCATATGTGGTATGCGTACGTGTGATTGTTGTTGTTGTTGTCTTTCAGGGGGTGAAGGGTGACCCGGGTGTCACAGGACTGGATGGACAGAAGGGTGATGGAGGGGACGCTGTATGAAACATCTCAGAGGCCTGATTAAAAATTCCATCAGATTTTGTGTGTTTATTTACCTCATGATAAATCCATCTCTTCTAACATTTCACTCCACAGGGTTTGACTGGCCTGGAGGGAGCCGGTGGAATAAAAGGGCAAAAGGTGTGTAATGCATGTTTTATTTGTTAGTTCTGTGCGTTTGTGCTGGAAGGAGGGTGATCTTTTCACTTGTTTGACGGATCTTTGTAGTCTCGTGTACACAAGACTTTTGACTGACTGAAGTTCAGATTAAATGAATCCTGTGGTTCATATGATTTTAATTTCTTTGTGTTTGTGTGTCTTTTATTATTATTCCTTTAGGGTGAAGAAGGACCCAGAGGACCAGCGGGCCCCGTGAGTACTGTACCGGTTCAGCCAGAGGTTCTGATGCATGCAGATGCTCTCTACATAGTATATACTGTAGACATATCGGCCTTCATGCCATAAACCACTCCGATAAATGATTCAGAGCCAGTGCTCTAGGATTCATTTGAACTTTTCATTTTTACAGAGCCCCTAAAGGGACATGATGAAAAACATTAGATGGGAAGAAAAGGTATATGTCAATGCTTTTGCGTTTCCTTGCAAATGTTTTGTATTCCGCTGATAAACTTTGCGTTCTCTCACAAAACCGTAGCATTCCCTCGCAAAACTTTTGCGTTCCCCCGAGAAACTTCGTCTTCCCTCACAATAACTTTGCGTTCCCAAACAAAAATGTTGCGTTCCCCCAAGAAATGTTGCCGTTTGCTCGCAAAAAAACACAAAGGTTTCTTGGAGGAACTCCAAGAACTCCATTTTGTGAGGGAACGCAAAGTTTCTCAGGGGAACGCAAACATTTCGTGAGGGAACGCAGTTGCTCAGTGGAACACAAAGTTTATCAGGGGAACGCAAACATTTTGTGAGGGAACGCAGTTTCTCAGTGGAACGCAAAGTTTCACGGGGGAATGCAAACATTTTGTGAGGGAGCGAAAGTTTCTCGGGAGAGTGCAAACATTTTGTGAGAGAACGCAGTTTCTCAGGGGAACGCAAAGTTTCACGGGGGAATGTAAACATTTTGTGAGGGATCGAAAGTTTCTCAGGGGAACGCAAACATTTTGTGAGGGAACGCAAAGTTTCTCAGGGGAACGCAAACATTTCGTGAGGGAACGCAAAGTTTCTCAGGGGAATGCAAACATTTTGTGAGGGAACGCAAAGTTTCTCGGGAGAGCGCAAACATTTCGGGAGGGAACGCAAAGTTTCATGGGGGAACGTAAACATTTCGTGAGGGAACGCAAAGTTTCTCAGGGAAATGCAAACATTTTGTGAGGGAACGCAGTTTCTCAGGGGAACGCAAAGTTTCACGGGGGAACGCAAACATTTTGTGAGGGATCGAAGGTTTCTCGGGAGAACGCAAAAGTTTTGCGAGGCAAGCAAAGTTTCCCGGGGAAACGCAAAAGTTTTGCGATGGAACGCAAAGTTTCTCAAGGGAGCGCAAAAATTTTGCAAGGAAACGCAAAGTTTCTCGGAGGAGCGCCAAAGTTTTGCGATGGAGCGTATTTTCTAATATCTCTATGGTATTATCTCCCAACTTGTATTTTTTCCTTCACCATGTCTCTTTAAGGGCTCCGTACATTTTAAACTATCGTTGGTAGAAAACGTTATGGGTCCAAAACTAGTGAAAAACAAATGTTTATTTGTACTACCGTTCAAACGTTTAAAGTCTGTAAGATTCTAAGACAAAGATATATATTCATTTATTCCTGTGAATCCACAGCTGAATTTTCAGCATCATTACTCCATTGTTTTTCAGCATCATTTCTCCATTGTTTTTCAGCATCATTACTCCATTGTCTTTATTGTTACATGACCCTTCAGAAATCATTCTAATATGCTGATTAGCTGTTTAACATTTCTTGTTATTATCAATGTTGAAAACGGGTGTGCTGCTTTAAAATTTTGTGGAAACGGTGATTTTCAAGATTCTTTGATTAATAGAAAGTTTAAAAGAACAGCATTTATATGAAATATACCTATTTTTTGTAACAAATTTTTTACTCTCACTTTTGATCAATTTAGTGCAACCTTGGTTTATAAAAGTAATAATTCCTTAAAAAAAGAAAGAAAAAAAGACTGACCCAAACTTTGAAACAGTAGCACATGTTAAAATGCAGATTCGATGCAAAACTCGATTATCATTTTCTTGTACTATATTCTGCATAAAAATTTCACATTTTCTTACCTGTGTTTCATTAAAAGATCACCTAAATGACTTTCTCTAAAATGAAGCCTGTAGCGTTCAATGCTTAATTTTCATACTAAATTCAATTTAATTTGAACTTCAATGATAGATAGATAGATAGATAGATAGATAGATAGATAGATAGATAGATAGATAGATAGATAGATAGATAGATAGATAGATAGATAGATAGATAGATAGATAGATAGATAGATAGAACTTTATTGTCATTGTCACATGTACAACGAAAAGATTTTAAAGTGCTGACCAGCCAGTGCATCATTCCTAATATAATTATTTAAAAAAAACAGTGAATAAATAGTATCTAAAAGAAAAGCAACCTGAACAGCATTCATATACACATACACAGTCACACTTATTGCACCAGTCCTGCAATCAGTTCAATTCACTTTAGCAGCGTTGATTACAGTTATATTGCAGATGGGTAAAAACGTACTCGGTTACTAACGTAACCTCGGTTCTCTCTAGAGAGGGAACGAGTACTGCGTAATAGCTTACGCTAGGGGAAAAACTCTTTTCCACGAGATATTGAAGCCAAAAATTATCCTTAATTTTTTATTAATGTAAAACGCTTTGCAGCAGCAAGCAAACATAGGCGAAACAGCTCGCGCGCCTATTGGTTGCTCTGCAGCAAATGCAGCAGCCTATCGAGAGAGACTCAGTGTGACGTAATGACCAATGGGGGCCATTCGCGCCCATATCGTCACGTCCCGCCAGAAGGGGCGTGGTCTCACCCTATAAATATGCTCGTTAGGCTGGTACAAGCTGGTTTTTATCGCTGAAGCGAACCAGAGCGTATTCCAAGCACGGCAAGATACGCAGTACTCGTTCCCTCTCTAGAGAGAACCGAGGTTACGTTAGTAACCGAGTACGTTCTCTTACGAGAGTATCTCTCGTACTGCGTAATAGCTTACGCTAGGGGAACACAATGCAACACGCCGTGCGTACAGGGATCCAACACCAAAGTCCCGAGGGCCGAAGCCCAGGGCTCATGTAGTGCATAATCACCATAAACTCACATAGAGTGGAGGAAGAGAGGCTGGAAGCGTCATTCCCTATAAAAAAGCACCCAGCGGGGCTATCATATGACAATAAAACGCGCAGCCAGGGTGAAAGCTTTCAGCCTGATCTGGGTGGCCATACGTGTGTCAACACTCATGGGGCTGCAGTAAACTCAGCATCTGGGCCGCACAGCGGGGCAGATAGCACTGAATTTTAGATCGCCAAAAGCTTAGCTTGTAAGGCGGGTACCTCCAGGTTATAGTATTTTATAAATGTAGACGGCGAGGCCCAGCCCGCTGCCGTACAGATATCTTGCAGGGAAACCCCGCTCGACCAAGCCCACGAAGAGGCCACGCCTCTCGTGGAGTGCGCCCTGACACCCAAGGGGCACTGTAGGCCCTTTGCAGAGTAAGCGAGTGCAATGGCATCCACTATCCATCTGGATAGGCTCTGTTTTGAGGCGGCGAGTCCCTTGGAACGCCCGCCAAACAAAACAAAAAGCTGCTCCGTCTGTCTGAAAACAGACGAGCGTGACACATAAGCTCTCAATGCCCTGACGGGGCAAAGGAGACTCGCATCCTCCTCCTCACTGAGAACCGGAAGGGCGGACAGGGAAATTACCTGGGCCCTGAACGGTGTATTGAGGGATTTCGGGACATACCCGTGCTTAGGTTTGAGAATGACCTTCGAGTCATTAGGCCCAAACTCCATACACGACGCGCTTACTGAAAGCGCCTGCAAGTCCCCTATGCGCTTCACTGAAGCGAGAGCCATGAGAAACACTGTTTTGAACGACAGGTGTTTCATGTCCACCAGCTGGATTGGCTCGAACGGGGCGCCTTTCATGGCCTCCAGGACCGTGGAAAGGTCCCACGTCGGGACTGAAGGGGGCCTTGGAGGGTTCAGCCTCCGAGCTCCCCTAAGGAAACGCACGACTAAGTCGTTTTTCCCCAGCGGCTGGCCAGACACCGGTTTTGCAAACGTTGCTATGGCCGCCACATATACTTTGAGCGTGGATGGGGTCCTGCCCTTATCCAGTAGCTCTTGAAGGAAGGAAAGCACTTCCGTAACCCCGCATTCCACAGGTGAAAAGCTCCGGGCTTGACACCATGCAGAGAAAACAGACCATTTCGAGGAGTAGAGCCGCCTGGTAGACGGAGCTCTAGCCTGCGCGATCGTGTTTAACACTCCCTCCGGGAGGCTAGCGGGTACCCGTTGATAGCCCATGCGTGCAGGGACCACAACTCCGGGCGAGGGTGCCAAATCGAGCCCTCCGCCTGAGAGAGGAGATCTCTCCTCAATGGTACAGGCCATGGGGCAGTGCTGGTCAGCTGCATCAGGGCAGGGAACCACGTCTGGTTTTTCCAGAGCGGAGCCACTAGCAGCACTGGGCATCCGTTCTCCCTGATTCGTTCCAAGACCTGAGGTAGGAGCGAGACAGGAGGAAAAGCATACAGGGGGCAGCGGGGCCAAACATGAGCCAGCGCGTCCTTGCTTTTCGAGAAAAACTCCGGGCAATGAGCGTTTTCGTGGGACGCGAACAGGTCCACCCGTGCTCTGCCGAACGTTTTCCACAGCAGCTGGACCGTCTGCGGGTGCAGCGACCATTCCCCTGCTGGAACATTGTTCCTGGACAGTCTGTCTGGTCCCACATTCAGGTGACCAGGCACGTGCGCTGCTCTCAGTGAGAGCAGGTTGTGCTGAGCCCAAACCAAGAGGCGTTCCGTCAGCCTGTGAAGGTTTCGTGACCTGACGCCGCCCTGGCGATTTATGTACGCCACCACTGACATGTTGTCCGACCGGACCAAGACGTGGTGGCCTGTTAACTGGGGACAAAAACGCCGTAGCGCTTTGTCGACTGCTATCATCTCCAAGCAGTTTATGTGAAGGAGCTTTTCCCGTTCTGACCACAGGCCAGCTAGCGGTCTGCCCTCGAGCAGTGCTCCCCACCCCGAGGTGGAGGCGTCCGTAGACACCACCTTCACACTCGAAGCGGTCCCCAGACTCACACCTGACTGGTACCAGTCTGTTATTTTCCAAGGTTCCAGAGCTGAAACACACTGAAGGTCGACCCTGAGGCGAAACAGACCCACTGTCCATGCCCTGGGTGGAA